ACAACCAAACACTGAATGTTACGTACCACGTGAGGAGACTCTGGCGCAGGTGATCCAGTATGCCAGCGCTACGGGAATCCAACACTCAGGTTAGTTCAATTGCACATAGATACCCCGTACGTGCAGAAATTCATTTTTCTTTCATGTTCCGTCAGAGGGCCACGTGAGACACTTCTGCCTCGTGATTTCCATCTCTCTGTTCATGTAGAAATCCTGCTCTGTGTGCCCTTTAATAAGGGTCTTGTATATTTGTAGCCACCATTTATTACACTCGAATTTCAGGCACTAGTCACTTAAGTATACTGCACTTTCTTTAGTGGGAGTCATCTTTTTGTTCTAAAGATTTTGTCCAGTTGATTTACTGAATTGGAATGGAAAAATGAAAAAAATTCATATACATTAGAAACCAACTGCCGAAAGGTCAAACCCAAACCCATGAAAATGCGTGTCATGGACGCAAGACTCTGTGACATCAAGTTCGGGGCAATTGGGAGACTTGGAAGGCAAATGTGTAAGACCTGTGGAAATAAAATTCCTACACGTTTCAGCTGTGAATGGGCATTACAGTTCCCAAACCAGGAAAAGTCTGCTGCTGCCATCAGTAGCACTGAAGTGGTTTGGGTGTGGGATGGAATCCTCAGCTCGCAACAAAGTGCCCAGTTTCTAAGCCTTCCTTTATTCGCATAGGCATTGGCAGCTATTTTCTAAACAATGCTGTACATTTATTACTGTCAGCTGAGCAAAAAAAAAAAAAAAAAAAAAAAAGCAGCAAACTGCTCTCATGCATGAACTCAAATGGTGGGTCTGGAATGAAGCCTAACTAGACCCCAGACGGAAACAAAGTATTAAGCTAAACAGAAGTTGTTCAGATGGAACAACCCTTTTTGCTTCAGTGTTAAGAAAATCTTCAGCTTTTCAAGAAAAAAGGTGATTCGCCTGCCATTCTAGGTGAATATTTTCCATGTTAATTGAATTGCAGTTTACACAAATCTACTCTGCGTATTACAGTGAACTGTTTAAAAAGAACTTTTTATTCTTGCTCAGTAATTCTGAGTATAATTAGTTGTCTTGCTAAATATGAAATCAAAAGTCACAACTTTTTAGTTGCAATTAATCCCACCAGTCATACCTATGTTACCAGAGAATACACCCCCCCTTTCTAAAAAGATTTCATTTGTTGCAAGTTCTCGGAGACAGTGAGAAGAGGCGCGTTTGCTGGTCTGCACTCGTGCGGGCGTGAGGTGGTAACGCTTCCTGGGATCTGTACAGACTCCCCTGGGAGCCCTGCCGGCGTGTCGAGACAGGCAACGTGGTTCCCTCTTTGCGCGTTGGTAGCAGCTGCAGCGTTATTTGTGCAATTTCATGGATGATGTGGCTGAAGCGCGACGTAGTGGCCTTGGCAGATAAACATTTGAAAGTTGCTCTTGTGCCTTTAGAGTTCCAGCCTTCCCGGTTCCGAGGTTTTTTGGCAGATAAAAGCTGAGTGGTTCAGAAGTGATAAATACAATGATGTTTCAGTGGAGTGTGACCTGCTGCCATGGAAGAGATTCCCTCTTCTTTCCTCTTCTGAGGTCAGAAAACATATTCTCTCAAATACTGGTTTATTTCTGTATTTTGTGCATCCTGTTTAAGGTGTTGGTTGGTATAAGTGGAAATTATACAGTTAGCAGTTTGCTAATTGGTCATTTTAAAATCTGTTTGTATAATTAAAGCTACACAGTAAAGCAGTTTACTATTTTATCTAGACTAGCAAACTTTCAGGCTGGCTGTGTCCCAGTGCATAGTTATGACTTCATCCACTTCACCTGCACAGGGAGGGATGTTTTGGTGTAGGTCACTGGCCAGGTCTATTCAGATTAGTTGGGCTGCATGGCCTGTTTTTTACAACGGGATTAAAAATACATATTTAGCCTTACAAGGCACAAAAGAAACAGATAAGCTTTTAGTGTTAATGATTTATTTTATTTTGGGGAAGCAAGAAATATCATTTAGGAGACTCTGGATGAGAGATTGCCTTTCTTCTGCAGTGTTCTGTGTTAATATAAAGTGGTGGTTGCCTTTTAAAAAATTGAAAAGCCCAGTGCAGAGAAAACATTTTAGAACTACAGAAGTGTGTACAGCACTGTGTTCCTATGTGTTTCTTTGAAATACTCTCCTGCAGAGGTGATTTATGTAGAATGATGTTTAATAAAGCCAGGGAAATTCTGACTGTTTGTGCTCGCGTGATCGAAATGTACACATAAATCTGAAGATGTGATTTTACTCAGGTCTGCAGCGGAGCGCAGCCTTGTGAAGCTGTTGCTGTTTCTAGGTTATACGGCTCGCTTCCCACCGCGGGGACGCAACGTTTTGTAAGAAGCAAATACGGTGCTGCGCTTCGGGTCCTGGCGGTGGAGAGTCCCCACGCAGCTGGAGAAGGCAGGGTGGCACGTGGCCGCTGCAGCGCGGCGTGGGAGGGTGGCTCGGCTGGGAGGCCGAGTTTCTCGGGGCTGCTGCCGGCGCTCACCAAGGCTGTCCCGGTGATGCGCTGCCATTGTCATCTCTCTTCTCATGGCCTGTCCCACCGTAAATTTTGCAGGTGACCAACGCAGTAAGAATAGCTGTAATGTTTTAGGTGTCACACACTGTTCTGTTAAAACAGTTCTCGTTTCGGGTAGCACCTACCAATTTGAAAAATGTCCAATCTTGGTTAAGCTAGAGGATTCGCCATGACATTTGATGAGTTGTTTCGGTGTTCAGTTATTTTCATTGTTAAATTTTGAGCTCTGCTTCTAGTCTGATCTTCTAATTTCTACTCCCAGCCCTTTGTTACCAAATTTCTCTTCGTGTAGATTTATACAAGCTGTGATCTTGTCATTCATTAAATTCCTCTTTAATTAATGAAATTGATTAAGCTCCTTTTAAAATATATTTTCCAATCCTTTATTTACATTACAGTTGTTTTTCTGATTCTTCTGCAGCTGATTCTCCTTGACTTGTAGACATTGATTGTGAATTACTGTAGCTTACCTAAACTGGGAAGTAAATAAGTGTTTCTATCCCTCAATGAGATAGTCACGATTTTAACAAGAGAAGATCACATAGCCCTTCGCTGCAATGTCATCCATGGGAGATCATTATTACCGGATTATTTGCCTTCTCTGAATTGTGCTCTCAACCCATCCTTTGTTTCCAGATGCACGATCTTGCTCTCACTTGGGTGGCAGTGCAAGTAACTCACCGCTCTTTGCATGTATGGCTCCTCTCTTCTTGTTCCCCACCAGGTATCATTTACAGGCTTCAACATTGTGATGGGCACTTTGTCTCCCAGATGATTTTACAGCACAGGGAAAACATCTGACTCTATTCCTTTTCTCGGTTTAAAGCCCCATGCTACACTTCGTCACTGAATTGTGTAGCCCTCTGCCCATGGCGCGTGCCCTTCCCCCAAACCTACATGTGCCTCAGAGGCTCCTTCAGCAGTTCCACCATACCCAGTGGCTGTTCTTGTGTCACGGAGAGGGGCAAGTGACTCATCTTGAACTGGTGTCAGCTGAGGTTGGCACGTGGTGATACCTCAGACTGGCCTTTCCCTGCTAGTGCAGGAGAGAGGGAGGAGCAGCGGTGAGGACACGTTACAGACAGTAACGCGTCTCTTCTGAAGCTGGCCGAGAAAGTCACCTGCTGTCAGCATTGACCCTTTGACTCCGTATTGCTGAAGTGTATCGGCAGGGGCAAGAGGCACCTGAGAACGTCCCTGTGAGCTTCTGCTGTCTGTGGTTTGGGTGTCTGGCTAGGAATGAGGAATTAGGGAAGTGGCAGCGCATGGTATTTGCAAAACCACCTATTGGAAGAAAGCTACCCACCGGCTTTCCTAGGGATATTATGTGCTTTAACAGGGAACCCAACTCATGTGGCCAGGTGCTAGGTAAGGAGCCAAGCCGTCTGGTGTCTCCAGCAGAGAATCTCGAATGCCTAGCTCAGGTCTGGGGCTAGGAGGAGCGTTTGCAGAACATGTCTTACACTGAACTGCCAACGGAAGACCTTCAGAGATCTCCCCTCTAACCAGCCTGACTTCACCAGACCAGACGGGGTCACAGCATGAATTGTTGTTCTTGGAGTATTCACAGTCAGGTTGGGAGAAAACAGTACGCTCGAGTCACCACGACAACTTTTCTATGAGGATGGAGGCACAAGAAGAGAAGGGAAGAGAGTACATCTTCAAAGCTGTTGCACAAAATCCAGTGTATCAAATGCCAGTAGGAAAACTGGAAGACAAGTTCTGGAAATTTCTTAGAATTTTAATCAGAAATCTGTAGGACTGTAAAAGAGATCAGACTTGGGTGAACATAAATGTTCAATAAGCATCCATTATTTAAACTTCACATAGAATGCTTTTATATTGTTCACTCTCTGGGAAATCCAACAATATTTAAAATTATTTTTATTGATCATACTGTCATTACCGGTCCATCTTTAAATGTATTCAGTAATGGATACATTCAGTGGCTGGCCTATATATTCATAGTGATTTGGCTGGCAGGAAACTCCTGAACCTGAGGAAGAGATGTTTGAATTTGTTTGCACGCAAGAATGGCCCTACCAAGCCCTGGGACACTGTGAGGGTGTAACGGGTTCCAAACTCACACAGCTTCCAAGTGAGTGAGTACAAATGGTGTTAATCTCCATATATTAATAAGTGCAGGATTTGGGGATGTAAATCTTCTTGCTGTGAAAGCTGAGAATTCAGTGGAAAAACGCTGAGTTAAATGATTCTTTAAAAATTTAGAAACTGCTTTTCATATGAGTAGACAGCAACAGAATGAAATTTGCCTGTTAATACATCACCAAGCTTATTTTCAAAAGGAAATTAACCCAAACTTGCCTATCTGAGGACCCAGACTTGAAGGCCTGTGCTCCCTTTGTAGCATGTTCACCATTAAAATAGTGTTGCCAGTGCACGTGCTTTTTTGTGGTAGAATAGTTTGCGGTTTCTGTTGGGGCTGGTGGTAGCGCACCGCTCATTGTATCTTGTGGGTTTTGGAGGTATGCCTCCCCAGCAGTGGGCCCCTGGAGTCATATCGGCTTAGGTTCATTTGGAAGACCAGCTTTTTTGAGTATTTCAGAGCCCATGCTACTAAAATAAGTGTAATTATTGCTCCAGCAATTAAAATGAGGTCTCGCCAAAAGAACTCAAGACACTTGGTCGGGAGAAGCCTCTTACAAATTCCCAGCTCGTTCCCAGTCAGCTGCCTCAAGGGCTTCGTCCTCACGGGAGCTGGGGTTGCGCATCTGACGTTTTCAAGAGAGGGTGCGGAGACATCTTCTAACCATAGTTTTAGATACAGAATATGACAGTCACAGTTCCAAGGGTTGTCAAATAGTTGCACTTCCTCCAGGCTGTGCAAGCTGTCCAGGGCACCGGCAGGAACCGAGGTCAGGCTGTTGTTCTGCAGATAAAGCCTCCTGGTGTTAACGGGCAGGGCAGGCACTTCCGTCAGCTCCCTTGAGCTGCAGTCGATCTGCAAACCCTTCGTTTCTCCCAGAGACTTACAGCTGCAGGAGGGAGGACAGCCTTCAGTCTGGGTCATGTGGAACAGCAGCGATACGGCAAATCCCGCAAGAGTGATGAATTCTGTCTTGTTCATGCTTCAGCTACCCAGGGAATAAGAATAATAACCTGATAAGTATGATTCATTAGCATGTTTCTAAATGCAGAACTACAACACAGCTCTGGAATACTCATGAGATTTAGGTTTTTGGAGGAAAATCTTTAGCTTTCCGTATTTCCCACAGAGCCATTCTTCCTGACATGGAGTAGCATAAATGCACCTGGGAGAGAGCACAGCGCTCCCATTTTGTCCCTAGTTCATTGCTTTTCCCCCATAATTCTATGAAATATATTACTTTTCAAAGATCTGGAACAGAATGTCACCAGGAGACAACGGTGAAAACTAGGTTGGTTTTAGGCAAAGATTTTGATTCCGTTTCTACGTCTTCGTAGGTCTAGTGTTAGAATTGTGTATTGAAGTCAGTTTTCAAAATGGAGCTTAAGAGATTGATTAATTGTAAATGTCTAAAATCTTCTTTCTGAGAGTGTGGAGATTCTAATGAGGAAGTACGTATTTTGATGTGGCAAAAAGTTTTTTCTTGCTGCCCGGTAGCCTCCTGCGTCTCTGAGAACGTACAGTTTAAGATTTGGATGAATAGAGAATTGGAAATTTTGTGTATCTGGTACTGCTTGTCTTTTAGGGATTAAATAGCCATGCTTTGGGCTAGTAGGTAATCATCCCTTTGGCTATGTCATTCCCACTTCTGTAGGGTGGGTCCCACTAGACTTCCAGCTCAGTCCCTTCTATTTGGCAGTTTAAAATCACTAAAGCTGTTCCCTTCTTGTATATCCTACTTCTTGGCACTTAAAAATACATAACCAGCCTTAGGACTGGGTTGGAATTTGAAATACAAACTCTTGCACAAGTTGGGGAACTTCTAATACTGATTTTAATACATCCCGTAACGAAAATGTATTTTCTTTCTCCTCCCCCCAATTCATTTGCAAGAAGTATTGAAGCAAAAATATCTGACTGTGTATTACCCTGGATACTACTTGGAGAATGGCATACTGTAAAAAGCGTAGGGTTTCTATCCACGATAGGCTTAAAGAAAATGCCTTTTTAGCTGAAGAAGGTGAAAACAGTTTTAGAACTTTGCTTGCAAGCAAGCATTAGAAGCATATTGAGCATGATTTCAAAATTAGATTGGACAAAGCCTGAGGAATTTTAAAGATGTGTAGATGTGGCACTTAGGGATGTGGTTTAGTGGAGTTAGGTTTACGTTTGGACCCGATGGTCTTAAGGGTCTGTTCCGATCGAAATGATTTTATGATTCTATGAAATAGCAAGCAGGTAGAGCAGACCTATTAACAACAACAAATACAGAGTAAAAGAGGTTTTTACATACTAAGGCAAGAAGGAGCTTAAATTATACTGATGTAGAATGGAGTTTAGAAAAAAAATTCTTCAAAATAATGTTTGCAAGTGTAGAGGTAATTTAGGACTCAAAATATTTTTCCTCTTAAAATAAGTTGAGACTTTTTTTTCTCTAGGAAGTTTAATTTAATAAAGGCTAAAATTGTAGGAAAATTAGTTTGATTTTTGTTTTAAATGAATTTGCTTCAATTTTCTTCAAGGATTATGCAACTAGCTTTTCAAAACAAAGTTAGACAGCTTTAGATTCCTGATCTAAATTCTACATTCCTGTATTTTAAATTAAATTAATGCTACATAAAATTAAAAAGTTCATCACAGAGAAGCTGGAATATCAATCTTAACAATCTCTTATGTCTTTGTTAGCGTGTATTTAGTCTGGATACTCATCTGTTATTTTTCAAGAAATCTGCTAGGGCTGTTTTTTTCAAAGTAGACATCTCAAAAGGACAGACTATGTCATCTGACTAAAAAAAAAAGTTAAGCAATATCTACAAAAGGGATGATCTCTTCTGATTTAGTATATACACAGTAAGAAATTCCAAATCAACAAGAAATAAGAACTGTGGCAAAAATGCAGGAAGGAAGAGTTGTTGAGACGCCTGGCTGACACTTACCCTTATTTAGTCGGTCCTGATTCCTCTGCTTGGGAAACTGTTGGAGTACGTATGGCAACTGGAGCTGACTTTTTAAAGAGTCAGTAAGGAAATGTGTTAAAGAAGATGAGCTTTTTCCTATGCATAATCGGAAACCGTTCCCTTTGCAAGACGCTATATATGGTTGACATGTGTCATGGCACATGGTGCTTGGGGCACTTTTGTGTTTTCTGCAGGTGAGAGGAAATGCTTTTGAATTTTTTTTATTGCTAATATATTTTTCCCTTTAAACCTGTCAATGTCTTGAAAACCTAAAATGACTCATCTGAAACGTAGTATTTTTTTCCTCAGCTATAATAATCTATGGGTATTACGAGGATGATGAGGGGACTGGAGCATCTCTCCTACGAGGAGAGGCTGAGGGAGCTGGGCTTGTTCAGCCTGGAGAAGAGAAGGCTGAGAGGGGACCTTAGAAATGCCT